TGTACTACATCCCATTTGCTGTCAGTTGGTGGCTCAAAAGACAGAGAATCCAGCTCGAGTTTCTATGCAATGAAAAGCAACTTCAGACGACTCTGAGGTACCCAGAGTCAAATCACTTTAAGGCTTAGCCAAATGACTACCCCTACATCAGTGCCCTTTTCTGACTTTGATTTTATAGCAGGTACACTAGTTCATTCCTGTCAGCTGAACTTCATATATTTAGTGTAAGTCAAGAAAATAGCCTTTGCCTGTTTATAGAATTAGTTTTTATCTGAGTGGGAAAAGGTTCCCACTGTGCAAGGTTTGTGGTACATTCATCTCTGTGTACACAGAAACAGAATGTGCTTATAATGCAGCATGTGTGTGGGGCTGTCATCTCTTGCCTTTAGGAACCTACTTACAACTGCCCATTTTTCTCCGTGTAGAAGCGCACTGATTTTATGGTGGCAACGACAACAATCATACACAGCGTGACAGGCACAAACAGCATGATCACATGCTTTGCTCCATATTTCAGCGTCAGTTCCTCTTCCTCATTGTCCAGAGGGATGTCTCTCACTGGAAGTCCTGACTCAGAATTACCTCCATCAACATCATCACTAGGGCTACGACTGCCACCAGTATGGCTCTTCTGTAAAGACAGGTTATAGAGTATGCATAAGACCCTCTATTTTCTATGCAGAGCATTCACTAATTTTTTTTCCTGGTGATATACAGAAGTACCCCATAAAATAGCAGAAGGCACTAATTATGTGGAAGTGAACGTGTAAGCCCTACCACTAGGAATGCCAACACCATCTGTGTCAAACATGCTATGACCTGGAAAATTATTTTTATCTAAAGAAGAAGTGTCTGCAGAGATTTAAACTGGGCTGAGGAGAGTAGTGCACACAAAACTGCAATTGAAAGAAATTCTAGCTGAAAGGTCAGGTGCCCAGCCATCTGAATCTGTTCTATCAGCAATCCTGTCCTTCCATTAATGGTTGCTTCTCTATTACTTGGATAAAGCTCCAATTTAACATCTGTTTTGTTTGCTTGGTACTAAGGAAGTTCTGGAGAGTAGATCAGGCAGTTAGTTTAAGCTTCCTTGTTGTTTAATTAGAGGGCCAGAGAGAACATCTCTCGGAAAAAAGTCATGTGGATTGGATCATGCTTACAACCCAAAACTCTAGCAACTAGGAAAGGAGGGGCATGAAGAGACAGGGAAAGAAAAGACTATTATGGGAAAGTGACAATGAGCGCTATTGCTGTTATTTAAGAAACATACAAAGTGCTGCAGTACCTGTGAAACAAGGACGGACTGACCCTAGGGCCCAGTAGCTGGAGGGCATTGTGCGATCTGTTCAGTAGAGCAGCAATGGCATCATGTCACACTTCCTTCCTTTCTCAGTGCAATACAGACCTACCCTGTGTGCCGGTGTTTCTGATGCTTCTGGTGCTTGCAGGCCATCCTGGTAGGAGGATACGGGAGGGCTCTCTGCTGACATCAGTGATGTTCTCTCATTGCAGGCTTCCTCTTCACTGTCTGAGCTATTCATGAACGTGATCATCATGAGTCTCTCATACAGCTCCTAGAAGCAAACACAGTGAGAGGAGAGAGAGAAAACGTTAAAGCCATGACACAAACCAAAAGCAACAGATACCAAGTTGGAAACCATTGCAATGGGGATGACCCAGTAGGTGTTGGGATTTTCCATCTTACTGCACCATGATAAACTAGCACACTAAAATGCATCATGCTCTAGACGCAACTAGATAGTGGGTTTTTTCTTCTAACCAGTTGGGTAGGGGGAAGTGGAATTCAGTGCTGTAGTAAAAGGCAAGTCCTCTTTTGGGCCACAGTGAGCAGAGCTGCTGCAACTGTTCTCGCCTCTCCACAGTACCTCGACTTTGAGACAGGAGGAAGCCTTCTAAGGGTTAGAAAGCAGTTTGTTTTCCATGGTCCAAACAAAGGGTCACCTCTGTGGAGAGCCGGTCGTGAAGTGCTCATTTGTCTGCTAGCAAGCAGCCTGAATTCAACACCCACAGGCCAGACCAACAAGCAGCAGCCACATGGTAGTAAATTTTTGGTCACTAAGAACTTGAGCTGCGTCAGGCCAATCTATTCAAATGTGTCACGTTACTGAATTTGAGGAAAGCAGCCAGATCACTGCTGCACCCATAGGTGGGGGTGTTGGCCCCAAAATGGTATAAAAGGGGGCCATGAGGGGTGTTGAATAGAAGCTTACTGTCTGCTAATCCTATGTACGCTAGTCATGTGATTGTATAATGTCTGTGTGTGCAGTTAGGAATCTGTAATCTGTATGGATACTGAATATTTCTCTGCATGTGGTAGAGCATTGAGCAGAGCCCGGCCTATGGACATGCTAATTAGCGAGGCCCTGTGGGACAATGGCACTCAACAGGCCAAGGACACATCTAACGAATGAGGGCTGACACCTGAGGGCTGCCAGCAGGGAACACAGGGATAGGCTGCTGGCCAGGTGACCAGGAAGGAGGGATAAATAGGCCACGTGGTCGACTCCATCTTGGTACTCAGCTCAGCACTTCATCCCCGACGCAGCAGTTCAGGGATCGAAGAGCCAGGAAGAACTGTGGACCCATCCTGATCCTAGGATGTGCAACAAGGACTTTTGAGCCAGCAACTGTAACATCTCTGCTAGAGCCTGCATCGAGAACTGGGAGATTCGATGCATGTAATGTACTATCCTTTAACAACCTTACTCTCATGGTTTTCTTTGTTGTAATAATAAACCTTTAGATGTTAGATGCTAAAGGATTGGCTCAGCGTGATTTGTGGGTAAGATCCAGAGGGTAAATTGACCAGGGATCTGTGGCTGGTTTCTTGGAACCGGACAGAACTTGTTCGGGGTAGGTGGGATTGGGTTCTAAGACCCACCACTAGTGTATGAAGCCAAGGGCCATCTGGGGCACAGATATTGCTGGGATGTCGGAGGGGTTTTGCTTGTGAGGCTTCAGGCAGGCAGCGGTCTGTCACAAAATGTAAGTTCATAGCAGCCTTCTGGATTTCCTAGGGAATTATTCCCCTCCCCTGCCAAGCACGATAAGAAAACTGGTTTCCTGAAAGAGGAATGCTCTCTCACTGCAAGTTAGCCAACACTGTCCCAGATACATTGTTTCACAGAGGAAGAACAAGGCACTTGAAAGGGCAACAGCTTGGAGTTTAATGGTGCAGATCTTATGGTGCTGGCCTGATTCCATATACTGCTATTCAGAAATAAAAACAGTAGCATGGTGAAGAGTCAAGAGGAACAACTTTGTTTTCATCCAGTGGAGAGACTGGGGGCACTGCCCTTGCTAGCCTGCCTGAGCCAAGGATGCCATGATTTCAGTCAACCCTAACAATGTACCTATTTCTCCTCCCCATCCTTATAAAAGAGGCTACAGCATATTTAGGGCAGCTCGATCCAGGACTTAACGTTTTGCTGTTCAGCTTAGAGAGGTAGTCAACTGAATCTGGCCACTTTTGGTTTTCAGGCTACTCTTGGTGAAGGCAAAAACCCACCCCTTTGTGCAGATTCATTTAAAAGCTGTAAGCATATGATTCCCTGTGACATCAATGGAGCATTTAAGCCAAGAATCATGACAAAGAAAGCCCAACATGGCCTAAGAGATGGCTATTTCCCTTTCAAACCTGAAGTGGAAGTACAGAGAAGCTCAGTGACTTGGCCACGGCTAAACAGCAGGACATCCTCAGGAGTTTCTGACTTGTTAGTCTGATAGATAACTGGGAGATTTCTCTTTCTTCTCACTGGCTATGTCTACACTGCAGGCTTCTTGTGCAAAAACTGTTTTGCGCTAGAACTCTTGTGCAAAAGGTCTTGCACAAGAACGTGTCCACACTGCCATGTGCTTTTGTGCAAGAGCATCCATGGCAGCGTAGGCGGTCTCTTGTGCAAGAAAGATCCGATGGCCATTTTAGCCAGAGGGGTTTCTTGTGCAAGAAACCCTTGTTGCCCCATCCACACTGCCTTCTTGCGCAAGAGCTCTTGCGCAAGAGGGCTTATTCCTCATGAGAAGAGGAATAACTCTTGAGCAAGAAGCCCTCTGTTCCGACACTTTACTGTAATTTTACTTTCACAAGAACACGCGTGCAGCGTAGATGCTCTGCAAGTTTTTGCGCAAAAACAGCTGTTCGTGCGCAAGAAACCTGCAGTGTAGACATAGCCGCTATGTTTAGCTTTAGGAGGAATAATTAAATTCCTTCCCCTCCTCCCCCCAACTACTCTTGATCTTTACTCATTTTGTCTCTTCCTCCCAAAGAGGAGATCTCAGAAAGAAAATCTATCTCCTAAGTGAGATATTCTTTTAAGAAAACAACTCCCCCCTCTTGCCTTATCAGTGCAATTTCTGTATTGTCAATAAAAGCAACACAGTTCGGCGGTGGAAGAGATGGTAGAAACACTCAGTCTTGGGCTATGTTCTAGCTCAGCAGAATAAAACCTGACAACCCAAGGTCTCAAAAGATTACATTCACTTTTGTGCCTGTCCCTCTTGCATGTGCAAGTCACCTGCTAATAAGTGCCTGATAAGCACCCAGACAGACGCAACAGAGTTTTTTCGGGAAAATGGTTATTTTTCCAAAAAACAAAAAAACCCCACAACTTTACTTACATCCACACTGCAATTGATTTATTTCAAAAACAAACAAACCAAACAACAAAAGAACAGAGGGGTTTTTCTGACACTGGTAAACCTCTTTCTATGAGGAAGAAGCCTTTTTCTGAAAGAGCTCTTTTGGAAAAAGGCATGTGTGGATGGGTTCTTTCGGAAGAAGAAGAAAGAGGAAAAAGCACAGATGCCCTGGTGGCCACTCTGTTCATAGTAATCACAGCTTAAATACAAGAGAGCATACATGCAGTGTGGATGCTATCTTTTGAAAAAGCAGATGGCTTTTTCGATGCACTTTGGCAGTGTGAACACTCTTTTGGTAGAAGTTTTTTCAGAAGATCATTTCCGGAAAAGCTTCTTCCGAAAGAAGCCTGCAGTCTAGACGTAGCCAGAGAGCGAGAGGGAACATGTGCATTCACGTTTCTTGAAAATTTAGGACCAAGCTTCTAAAAGACTAGGCAAGTTATGAAATACATGAAGTTGAGTCTTTAAAGAGGAAGTCAGGCTTGTGATGTATATGCAGTCATTGAGGCACTAAATTCTTCTGAATCAGTGAAGTGAGAACAAGCTAGATAACACACGCAGCTAGACTGTAATAGGTCTGGCCAGAGTAGCGGAGATGGTTCCACACAGCTTCTGCATGTGCTGGAGAACCAAGGTAAGAGTTAAAGACCAGTCTCTAGGGGCTTGGCCCCAATTTAGGTTTTACACAGCGTAAGTATTGTTGAGCATGCCCCCCTCATCCCCATATACACACAATAGTGAAAGTCAATTGAGTGTAATCTTTCCCCTGCAGTATTTGCATACTGAAAAATACAATGTAGTGCTGCAGTACAGGACCCAGAAAGGGTCACCAAATAGTCTGTTTTCACAGGCCAAGCTGTGCCAAGTGCAGAAGTGAAACAAGTAGCAGAAGTGACTGTTACAGTCTCAAATCTTCTTCCACTTCCACTAACTTCAGGGCATGGCAGTTTCAGTAATCTTGGGGGTTAGCAACACAATACAGAAGGACTTTTGTATTTTAAATCATGTTTTTAAAAAAAGCTTGATGGCATCTCTTTGAAAGAGGAATAAAAATGCAGAGATGTGACAAAGTGATTTTAAGACAATCTCCAACCATGCTAATAAAATCAGATTAAGCCACATTGTTCTACCCATTTCTCCTTCCCTTTCTTATGAAGTTCTGCTTTAATGGTATATTGCAGGGCTACGCAGTATGCGGCCCACTGCCTGTTTCTTTACTGCCCACAGTGTGGTTTGGGTTTATGCCGTGATCAACACAGGTGGGATCCTTTGAACGTGGCCTCCACTGGGAACACGCGCCACAATGGCTCTACTCCGGGATGACTGATTCCACGCAAAGCCAGAAAAAGTCCTGTTTCCTTTATGCATTATCTTCCTTAAGAGAATATATCCCTTGGTTGTTGTTAAGCAGACCCAAAATGGGGACAAATAAGAACATTCACACCCCTTTCCCATGCACTCAGTTTCTCCAATACTGCTATTGCTTCTACCGGATTCTAAAAAGTTGCATTCTGCCTTATTTAGACAATAGAGTCAAATGCTCACCTTCCTTACAGGAGAGATGTGGAGCTAGATATCCATGGAGTGCTTGGAGATTCTCAAGTGAATTGTGCTTTAAAAAATAGGAAAAGAAGTGTCAAGTACTTGATTTATAAGTATTAGAAGATCAACCTGTTAACACCCTAGGATCACTGCAATTTAAAGCACAGACCTGTATGTAATAATATGATATGGCAGTAGTTCATAAAAAAGGGAATATTCAGAGAGCAACAATGTTAGCATTAGTTCATTTTAGATTCTAAAATATAGAAGAACAAGTCTGTGCAAAAACTATTTAGCTGCCACGTTTTCAAAAAAAAGTCCTCTAAAACAATGTGTCTGTAGCTGTCGTGCAGTCTTCTCAAGCCAAACACCCATAGCCCAAGACGAGGACATCAGAAACAGAAAATAAAACTAACACCAGCATGAAACTGACTGGTTTAGTTTAATTCATGGGTGGTTTCAGGTCTCAACTAATATTATAAGGACTAGAATAAAATATTTACGTTGTTTCAGCTTTAGCCAAAGGTACCGTTACAAAACAGAGGTAAGGACCTTCCGATTCTGCTTTGAAGACCAGATATGCCCGGGGATTAAGCATTATGCACGTTCACATACTTCCTGCCAAGGCAGAGATTTCACGTTGCCAGCGTGCACGCAGGACAAGGAGCCAGGGACAGACGCTGGGAAAGTGCTTCGCGAACTGAGCCCAATTCTACAGCCCGGCTACGAGGCGGGAGGTGGACACGCTGGGCCGGGGTCACTCGCGAGCGCCCCTCAGCAGGGGACTCCGTGGCCTCCGCCAGAGCTGGACACGACTCCGAGCTTCCAGGCACCTACCCGCCTGCGGCCCGGCCCCGGCCCAGCAAAGGTTCCGGCAGCGCAGGAGAAGGGGGTGGCGGGGTGATGCCAGCAGGAACCGAGAACCC